ATGTTAAATTGAAATTATTTATGATTTATTCATTTGGTGTATGGCGATGATGATGATTGTTTCGATGATAATGACGATTTGCATGATAATAAATCTCTCGTTTTTCATATTGAAATTGTTTATAATGTTCACGGGTAAATAAATTTTGAATTTGAATTTCATATGTTTCTAATTTTGATGCATCTTTTATACCAATGTATAATGTACGTTCATGAGTAATAGATGATGTTGAGAAGTTAATAGCTGTAAATGAAATTCGATGTTGTCGAAGAATGTCCTTTATATTTCGAATAGTAAATTGTTTATCAATATTTCGATGTTTAATCCCATATTGGTAATATCGTTTACGTTGTTCAAGGGTGCATGCACGATTATGTATTTTATGTTTTTCTTCTTTTGTTAATTGTCGAGTACGTTGTTTAGATTCAATATTGACTGGATTAGGTTCAACAGGTGGTGTTTGTTGAGGTTGTTGTTCATTATTATTATCTGACATTTGTTTATCTGAATGTGTTGATCATTCAATAGATTCATTATCATTAGATGATGGTATTGGTAATTCAAAATGTGTTGCTTTTGTTGTTGATGATGAAGTTATTGTAGCTTGTTGTTCTTCAAATAATTCTTGTTCGTTTTGTTCGTTGACGTCAAATAACATTAATTCTAAATCATTATTTGTTTCTTCTTCGTTCGCTGGTGATTGTGGTGATTGTTGTTTAATTGCATCCATAGTAATAAGAAGTTGATACATTGCATCACAATCATTTCTAGCATATTGAGTTATTAATTGACGATATTCGAATTCATTAGAATTTAATTTAACTAATTTTGGGTCCAGCCCGATATCAAATGGTGAACGTGTATGACGTTTATCTAACCATTTGTGTAATTCATATGCTGTTGCAGCTTGTATGGATCACGGGTTGTTTTCTTGTATATCAGTACATGCTTTACATATACATATTTGATTATTTATTGATGATGTTGGAATATGTGGATGATGTTCATACCAATATAATTTGAATTTGTTTTGTAAATTGATATTTTGTGATAAATAAATTTGGTCAGATGAGAATAAATTAAATTCAATAAATTTTATCAGTTCATCAATTTGACCCCATATGTCAATTGTATTTTTATGTTTGAAATAATGATTCGAATAGTTGTTGAATTAATGTAAAAGTTGATACATGTGGTCTTGGAAGATGATATGCTTCAATAATTAATATGTATGAATTTAATTGATGTGTGATGATTTATACTTGAATAAGTACTGGTTTATTGGGTTTTTTGTATGCACATACAGATTCTGTATCCATGATAAATAATGTAGATGAATTAATAATTTTAATTAATTGAATTAATGTTTCTTCTATTGTTCTATAATTAATAAAAATTAATTCATAAGATGATGGTTCAAATGGTGAATAATTTGAAGCATAAAAATGTTCTATAAGTTTTTTTCGATATGTTTGACGAATATTTTTTCGAATTTGTCAAGTTATTGATTTTGGAATGTTGTTGTATTTCCATAATGTATCGTCGTATTCTTTTTGAGATAACATCACTACAAGAGAAAAAAATGTGTTGTGCATTAAATATCGATTCTTTCGAAAATGAATCTTAAGATATTTAATAATCTATCTGGTTCCTATGAAAAATAGAAATCTAGTATGTCAATCTCAATACAGTACGAAATGTATTTCTTTTCGATTTTCAGTGGCCAAATAATAATCTAAATAAATGAATATTGACATATCCATAAATTGCATTTCGTATAATGAAATAATTAAATATAAAAATAATTTCCCAAATTGAATATAATAGCCCTTCAAAACCAGTGAATGGGGGAAAGTCACACTCCCCGATCTTGCTATGCTAAATTATATTTAATTAGATTATTCTAATAATATAATTATTCCATAAAATTTAACATATCATTTGTACTTCGGATCTCTTTAATAAAGAGGTCCTAAAATTAATGAATACGTTCACAAATTGGAAGTAACACATCAGTTGTAACTTGACGGTGTAATATTGGTTTCTTGATGTGTTGTACAATAAATGTTTTTGGTATAAGGTTTTCTATAATTCTGAATGGTCCTTCATAACGAGCATTGAATTTTGAATGAATGTTGAGTGTTTTAACGAGAATGAGATCACCAACATTGTATGATGGATCGGAACGATTGGTACCATAACGTTGTTTATATCGTTCTTGATTTTTAATAATATTAATTCTTGCTTGTTTATTTAATTTTGTTAAAAACTGATTAAGTTTTTTCTCGTGTTCGCTATCATGTGAAATTGTAACATCATTTTCTTGGTAATCAAGCGGTAATATTGGTGTTCGACCATACGTCATTTCAAATGGAGTTTGCTTGGTTGGGGAATGTGTCGACGTATTGTAATTAAATGTTACAAATGGTAGTTGATCATCCCAATTTGTTTTTTGTATATTGGATAAAGCTGCAATTTTTGCATCCATCATTGAATTATATCTTTCAACTTGACCATTTCATTGTGGATGATATGGTGTTGTATATAGATGTGTGGATCCGATTTGTTTGATTAATTAATTCATAAGTGTGTGGGTAAAATGAGTGCCATTGTCGGTCAAAATGCATCGGAATGTACCAAATTTTGAAATAATGTCTTCTTTAAGAAATTTAACAACTGTTTGTACACTATTATCACGGACTGCTTTTGCTAGCACAAATTTTGATAAAATATCTGTAAGACATATAATATATTTGTTTCTACGACGAGATGCTGGATTAATAGGACCATGGAAATCCATCGACACTAATTGCCATATCCCCTTTTGGAGGTCTAACTGGTCGTAATTTATCAGGAGCCTTTTGTCGACGAGGATTATATTGAGCACAAATAATACATGATTTAACATAATTATTGATATCTTTGTATATTGAAGGCTAAAAATAACGTGTTTTAGTTTTGTGTATTATTTTATCCCTTCTGAAATGTGCATCATTTGCTGCAGTATCATGATAAATTTTTAATATTGTTCGACGAAGTTCGCCTTGTGGTACATAGGGGACTAGAGGATTTAAACGACGCATTAAAATATTGTTTTTTATAAAATATTGTTTGTGTTTTTTGATGTTTTGGATGATATTCTTTGCATAATCATCATTTTTTTGAGCTTGAATTAGTGGTTCAGTTGAACAACTGTAATAATTCGATTCTCTTTCGTTGGAGAATCTGATACTAAATTTTGATGTATCTGTGGAATTATCTAATATTGTATTACGTAATTTAGAAGAGCGAGTTTCGACAGCAGTAATAACAGGAAAATATGGGTTATAAAATTCAAAATCAGTTTGTGTTGATTGAGAAGTAACATAAGTAATTTCATCTGGATCTTCTTCAGCATCTTCTACTGGAGATCTTGATAAATAATCAGGTATTAAATTAATTGAATCAGGAATGTATTTTACCTTGAAATCGTATTCTAAAATTTTTAATCTCCATCTTTCACAACGTTTATTGAGTTGTGCTTTTTGATTTAATTGTGTGAGTGCTTTATAATCAGTTTCCCATGTAAATTTAATTCCGCTTAAATAATTATGACATTTGTCTAATGCACAAATAAATTCATAACATTCTTATTTCATTGGAGACCATATGCGTTGTGCTTGAGTAAATTTCTTTGAAAGATATGCAATCGGTCTATCGCCATCTGGCTAAATTTATTACAATACCGCACCGATTTCCTCATCAGATGCATTAGTTTGTACTTTAAATGGGAATCTATCATTTGGCAGTCGTAATATCAGATCAGTTGTAAGAAAATTTTTTAATTGTTGGAATGCTTTAAGTTCATCATTTGTCAATGTAATAATAGTTTTTTGTCCTTTATTTTCTTGAGTTCTGGTAGTTGGAACGAATTTTCTAAGAGGTTCAGAAATTTGAGAAATATTTAGGATAAATTTTCTATAATATTCAGCAGCTTTAACGAATTTACAAGCTTCATCTGTCGTTTGTGATATTCTTGTATTTATTAAACCATGTATATTGGTAAGACTTGGACGAATTTCACCATTTTGTATACGATGTCCAAGATAATCAGTTTGTGTTCGAGCAATTTCACATTTTTCTGGATTAAGACGAAATCGAGTATTTTTTAATATTTGACAAATTTCATTGAGATGTGATAAATGTTCTTCGAATTTTTTTTTTGAATATATATTTACATCATCAATATATGCTAATGCATATTTCCATCGTGTAGGACCTAACATATGGTAAATAACACGTTGAAATGTTGCTGGACCATTTGATATTCCTTGAGGAAGAACTGTAAATTGATAATGATTGTCTCACGTAGAGAAAGCCGTGTTCGGTCGGTCCTCTTTAGATAGAGGAATCTGGAAATATCCAGATTTAAAATCAAATTTTGTATAATACATTGCATCGGATAATTGATCAAATATTTCATCAATTCGAGGAAATGGAAATGCATCTTTAATTATAATAGCATTTAACCAACGGTAATCAATGCAAAATCGCATGGTTTTGTCTTTTTTCTTAACAAGAACGATCGGTGATGACCATGGAGAAGTTGATTCTTCAATTTGACCACGTTCTAATAATTTTTGTGTTTCTTGAAATTTAATGTCTTGATCTTTGTATGAAGCTGGATATTGTTTTGAATAGATAGGTGGATGATCACCAGTTCTAATTGCCAATTGTGGAGGAATATTAATAATTGACGACGAAGGATCAAAAAATATTTTATTTTGCCACAATATAACTTGAATTGCTAATTGATGTTTTGGATTTTTTACATGAGCAGTCGATTCGAATATTTGCTTTCGAATCTGGTCGGAATAACATTGTGCTCGTAGATGCTTTTGTAAGTCATTACCAGATAAAAAAATGTTCATTACATTGATGGCAACGATTATTCCGTATAGTTTGGTCCGAGTTATCTTTATCGTATGAGATAGCTCTTGTTTTAAAAATTTTAGACTTTCGAAGTGATTGATGATGTAACGGCGTTTCGGATTTTGTCGAATCTTGTATTATAGCACGTATCGAGAATGTTGTATCATATGATATGGTTCCAATGTGTGTATTTTTCGGTAATGTCTGTTGCCGATTTTGAACATTTATTAGTAGAATTTTTGCTTGATGGTTATTAACATTTAATAGTGTATGTGGTATAAACATAAATTTTGAAATATAACGATCATATGGTTCGAACATTAAATTGTTGGCATTGCTAATTTGGGAAGTGATATCGACTAATGTTTGTGAATAAGGAGGAAGAGTAATTTGATTTACTAATAGAGCCGGATAATTGATGGAAGGCGGTTCGGTGTATTAAATTTGAGTTAATGGACCATACTGGTCAGGAATAGTTAAGTGATTCCGGCCGCCAAACAGATGAACATGATTAGAATTAATTCAGTCATTGTCTAATAGAATTGATGTAATTAAATTTGTTGCGACATAAGCAGTGACATAAGTTTTAATATGTTTCATTTGAATTTCTAATTCAATTTGTCCAATAATTTTGAGAGGAGTTGAATTTGCTGTTTGACATATTTGGGTTTTATAAATAAATTTGTTGCGTTGAATGGTTTTGAGGAAATTTAAATGAATGATGGAGATGGCGGATCCTACATCAACAATTGCTTCATTTGGTTGATCATTAACACGGATTTTGATGTAAATTGGGGATAAGGATATTGTTGATGACTTGATAAATTTACTGCGAACACCGCCACCATGGGACCCAGCTATTGAAAATTTGGAGGTAATATACAATCACGGGCGTTGTGATTTTAACCACAATTAAAACATCCGGTTGTGAGTTTATGTTAACAATCAATTGTCCGATGATTTTTGCGACCACAAACTTTACAGTTATTGAATTGATGTTGTGATGTGGATCCAGTATTGATTGGATTCTGCTTTAATGTTGATTGTGATGTATAATTCTGAATTTGTTTTGTATTATGTATTGTTGATGTTCGATTTCCAAGTGCTGGAACCGAGTTCCGTCGAGAAACAGAGCTCTGTAATTGTGTTGAATGTGAACGGGGATTGTTGTGTTTTATTTTATGATAATACTGTTTTGATGGATTGACTGTAGCAGTTAATGATGGAATTGATGGACGATTGAAATTAGAATAGAGTTGTTGTGAATCAATTGATAGATTACAAATCCTATCACGTAAATCTTGTTCAATTTTGGCGTATTTTAAAAATTCATTTAATGTATTAATAGATGATTCACGTCTTAATAATTCTTTCCTAAAATCAGGATTGATTCTACTCATTAAATGTTGAATTATAATTTTTTCTGATATGTTTGAATCAATTTCCAGGCATAAATTAATAATATCACCTTAGTAGAACGTAATTGGTTCATCTGGTAATTGTTTTCGCTGTTTTAATGTATCAAACTTTTTGTTTATTGATGTTGAAGAAAAATATCGATTTCAAAATGCAGTTTCGAAATCTGACCATTTTTTGAAATTATATTCATTATTATCGAACAACTACAAGTATATATTCAAAACTGTCATTGTTTAGCCTTCAGCTCTTGATCGATATTATTTCTAAAGCACTGTTCTCGTTTTATCATACTAAGCATGACATGTGTCTCCAGTCGCACCTATATGTAAATAAGCAAGAAGAACTTCGGATACGGATGTTGATATTCTTTTCTCTCACATTCCTTTCTACATCCACACTTGCAGTTTGTTTTCAAGGAAGAAAATAAATGCGGAAACTTCGGATTTAAATCCGAGAGTTATGTGTACTTCAAAAAGTGAATGAGACAGATGAGTCGTTCTAGAATATGGGGATATAAAAATTATTCTGGCAAACCTTTTCTATAAATACTTGATTTCTATTGGCTACTGCTCAACCAATAGGATTTGGGGATGAATACAGCTCAGATTTGAACTCTTCACCTTGATTTATCCTAAGAAAGTCGTTTTTCCTATAACTTGATTTCTATTGGTTACTGTTCAACCAATGGGATTTCGAGGCGAATAGAGCACAGATTCGAGTTCTCCACCCCAGAAAACCTCGAACTATCATCTCTGTGATCGAAAGATAGAGCTCTATTTGTGGATCAATTAGAGCGTGACAAAAACAGAACCGAATTCCAATTAATTATCTTTGCAATAGCTGAGTTGGCTTTCTTGTTTCTTTATGTTTTATATACCATTTTGTAGCTCGTGAAATTCTCTATCGAATGGTATATAATAGTTGGAGTTTTATATGACTATGATAGGAAAAGTTTTTTATGAAAGTAGAGAAGGGTCTATCTTCTCATAGGGAAAAATGACTATTTTTGCTATAACTCAGCAATGGTTCGGCCAATCATTCTCATCTTCGAACTCGACCGAGATATTGTTAAGACTAAACTGTGTAGAAAATTTCATCGCGATCGGACTCTCCTTTCAAAAGTTATCGTGTTAACGGCCGGACGGCCGGCCGGACGGCCGGACACACTGACCGATTCTAGAGTGTACTCACTTTTTGAGTACACAAAAACAAGGATAGTCGTCGTTACTAGAAGCGACAATCGAAGGGTTTTGATCAAAATATAACAGTATCTGCGAGAGAAAAAGAAAAAATATATACGACTAACTATTGGCAGTGACGGCTTAACGAATCTTCTGAGAAATAAACTCTCGAGACGACAATGAACTGTATAATACTAAGATTATTATGAGGCCAATGTGGACCCATCCTTTAATTTTTTTTCTTGTAAGTTATATTCAGAAAACTTGATACGGCTTTCTTGAATTGTTAGAAGGCTAATGATTAGAAAAGAGATAGCTCAGAAAATGAAAACCAGTATTGTGAGTCTGGATGATCCTACAAAAAACGTTTGAAGGTTAATGCACTAGTAGGAAAATTTGCATCACCATGAACGACAATGTCAAACTAGATTTGATTGAAGTCGATGCTGTGGAAGGTTTTGATGTTGTCGAAGGATCTCGTATTATCGGACAGTTGAGATCTGACGTCCAATCGTCACTACCGACACAATTTTTACAAACGAATAGTCCGAGCGGATCAACTCTATCTTTGATAACTTTCAATCGATTATAAATAGTTTGTGAACCGAAAAAGTTTTCTTGCCAATTCACTTCATTTGGATCGGCTTCGTTAGTGTAGCAGCTTGGCTGGGAACCAAACAATAATTGATCTAAAATATCTGTTCGACTTGTGACTTCCTTAGCTAAGTATTCTTTAATATCTTCAGATGTTGTATCTAACCAACCCTGGGAGTTAACCATATGAAGAAGAGCAGTACGCCATCCTGGATTGACGCTGTTATTTGTGTTGGATGTGTTTGATACTTGTCCACCGGCTACAATATGCCCAAGAAGAATTGATCCAGTTACCGATTGACCTCGCACTTGAGCAAAAACTTCAGCGACTTTTTCTGGTAAATTACGAACGATACTTTCACGAATGAGACGTGAACTGAGTAGAACATTGAATCCAGTAGGGTTGGATGGATCCAATATGAGCGTAAAGTAATCATAAAATGATGGAATAGTGAAAATCAATGTCTTTCCAAAATCTAAATCGCTATTGTTAACTGCAAATTGATTTAATGTGTCATTGACTACTGTCACATTTCCATTAGGTACATGAAATACACCACTGAGTCTCATATCTAGCATACTGAAATAGCCAGACCAACTGGCATCAGCGACCACTGGTAATAATCGAATGAAATCTTCTGTCAGTCTTCTATATCGAGTTTCATTTGGTGTAGTCACGTCATATATAGCAGCAACAATAATTGGAGAAGAAAAAGTCCTTAGAACAACGGACAGTACAGCGGCATAGGTGCCGCCACCACCACCATTTAATGCCCAGAATAAGTCGCTGTTTTGACATATACTTACTGTTTGTCGTTGTCCATCCGCCGTTATAACATCATATTGGGTGTGGGTGTGGGTGTGGATGGATGTGGGTGTGTGGGTGTGGGTGTGGGTGTGTGGGTGTGGGTGTGGGTGTGTGGGTGTGGGTGTGTGGGTGTGTGGGTGTGTGGGTGTGTGGGTGTGTGTGTGGGTGTGTGTGTGTGGGTGTGTGTGTGTGGGTGTGTGGGTGTCGGTGTGGGGTATCTATTCACCCACACCCACACCCATCCACATTCACACCCACACCCACCCATCCACATTCACACCCACACCCACACCCACACCCACACCCCAGCCACCCACACCCACACCCACCCATCCACATTCACACCCACACCCACCCACACCCACACCCACACCCCAGCCACCCACACCCACACCCACACCCACACCCGCCACCTAGCATGTAACCACCAGTCACGCTCACTGTACTTGATGCTCCTCCAATTGCTGTCAAATTGAATTCATTCGGCCATCGATAAACTTCGCTCCATTGGACACCTGCACCTATTCGAGCAGCATTTGATACACTTGCATGACCACAAGATGAATACTGTTCAATCAATGTCATGGTTTTCATATGATGTAGCCATAAAAGCAGAGATCCAGCTGCCGTTGATCGACCTAAGTAATCGTGTCCAGTACTTTTGATAACTAAACGAAAATTATTCGTAGCAGCGAATCGAACGGTTTTTTGAACATGTTCTGGCAGTGTTGCATTAACAGCGAATACAGACACCGAACCTTGATTGCATGTTGTGCTATTTGTGAAAATTGAACATGAACTATTTTCCCAATTATGATTTTGCAGTGCACCAGCTTGATCACTACGCCATGTCGAATTCGACCATTGTGCGATGGCTAAAGCACATGCTTCGGCATTATATGGTTTCTCATTGCATACAACAGCCGAAGGCTCAGATGAGAGAAGACGTCCGTCAATGGTTTCATTGAATGATTGCCATACTAAAGCATCTGGCCAACATGATGAATTGCTCGCGAGACAACGGCAACGACGTTCTTCAATAGAATAATAAAATTTAACTATTCTATATGAGATGATTTAATATGAATGACTTACGGTCTATCACTAACTGTTGACTTAGAATGACCATGATGAAATACACGACAACGTAGACGAAGTAGATCGACATGTTCTGCACAATCTCTGTTATTATACAAACTGGTTTCATACCCATCTGTGAAGCGCATATATAGAGAGAGCATTATTCACCTTGATATTGATTCAGCATATCTTAATACTAAAGAATTTGCATTGATATTTGACACAATCTGCTTTATCAGTATTTTGAAGTGTGCAAATAGTAAATATAACTTCGATATCAATGCATTACAAATAAACTAATAGGAACAATCATTCATCCTAAAGAAGCTACATTTACTAAAGTCTGCACTCTCAATATTGTCATTGACTATTTGCAGTGTACTCTTTCGAGATGCGCCAGAGCAGTTTATATTCGATAACACTATATGCTCAGAGGATTTCACGTAAAACTCATCTATACTCAATTCCCAATGTCGTTTCTTTTGATCTGAAAATTTCGATGTTCGGCTTCATGCTGTCCATTTTTTTAGTCAATGACGAGACGATCGGCAATAGAATTTTTTTTCTGTTGCTTCCGAAACTGCTGTAATGAAAAATATTCATTTCTCTACGGAACATTCTCACCTCCTCAAGTAGATATTTATGATAGCTTGCTGAAAAATAAGACTTGCATATTTATCTCATACAGTAAATCTTGAATTTTTCTTTCTTAACAAACATGATACGGAGAATATGATATCATTAAAATCATCAGCTCAAAGTTGTTTTGTAAATAAACTAATATCCGGTGTAGTCTATTGAATAATATCCTAGATTCATAATGTACAAGTATATTTTGATTATATTCTTCATACGTTTTACTTTGACTATGGTATAATTGATAGTTTCTTTTGACGTCGAACTATATTTATTTTGGACTAGCAAAACTTTAAAAACTCAAAATGCATAACAATAAATTTCTTCTTGATATCTTTTTTGATATTAATACAATATCAACTAACTGAAGATATTCGAAAATATTTATTGAATTGAAACAATTGTGTTGAAAATGTGACTGATTTGATGAGCTTCGATGTCAAAATGCAAGAAGTCGAAGAGCTAATGGAATAACAATCGCGAAAAAAAAGCACGTACTTAATAATAAACTGAAATCAAAATTTCACTTCATTTGACTTGCTGTAAATGATATCACTAATCTCGTATTGGATGAAATTAGACGTGATGATTATTAAGTTGACTTTGTTTAACAATATCAGGTTTATCTGGTAATAACTTCTTTTTCGTGTGCAGCCACAAAATGCAGAAATAATAAATCTTGATCAAATGAGTAACATTTAAATCCAATGTTAATGTCAATAGTCGAGATATCTGGAATTGAGCTTAGTATTAATTGATTTTCAGAAGTAATGAATCATTATTTTGTGAAGAATAAACAGATTTGGATAATAAATCATATATAGTTTAAAAACCAGGACTTCTACTCTATTAATTTATAAGAAAAGTTTTCATTCTGAAAAATTAGCTATTCTTTTTACGCTAAGTATTTTCTGAAAAGATGTCTTCAGTAACTTGGATCGCCACTTTTTTTCACTAATCCGATATCGACGAAACTTCAAGAGAATGTTTTTCTATACCTGAATACATACATTCAGTTAACGCAAATGCTTCTGGGCTAAGATACAGGTTTTCAAAGTTTTCTCGTATTTCCTTTGTCGCAGAAGCACTTTGCGAGAAAAATAAAGACATATTTGAAATCAGCGTAGATAATTGTACCGATTGAATATACCGTTCATCAATTTTTAAAATAAAAAGTTTTTCATAGGAATTTAAGTTAAGGATCTCCCGTTAGAGATTTTCCAATTTTTATTATATTTATAAAAAAAATAATAATTAAACTTGATTTCAATCACACAAGCAGCAAAATAATCGACTGATGTCAACGATAAAACAAAAAAAAAAAAATTATTCGACATATGTATAGGTGTCAAACTTTGGACATATTCAAATTTCACCGAATGACAATTATTAATTTTTTCTTTTTGTTTTTAAAATATAAATACATAAATCAATCATATATCCGACTCATCATAAATGGAAAAAACACCCTAATAAAAATAACTAAAATCATTCATGTGATATCGTTTTATCGAGCACAATTTTTCCAATATTTTTCTTGCAAAGTTCATTAAGAGAATTAATACTATCGATAATCTACAACAAAGAAATAATATAAAAAGAAAAAACAAAACATTAAATTAATTCAAATTAACCTCAAGTATATTATTAAATAATATTTTAGCTTGATTTTCTGGTCTTGTTGAACATAATTGAATATACAATGCATACATATAACAATGTTTAATAATATGTATATTTTCTTGATCTTTTATTTGTTGATCTGGTTGACATATGACTAAAGTCATCATAAGACTATGGTCAACTTGTGTCATATTTAATGCATGAAGACGTTGAGAAAATTCATGTAAAGCGTCAGTAGTTGTTTTACCAATAAATTTATTCATAAAATAACGTGTATATGGTAATCCATTAGGTGTCATTATATAAGTTTCATTTTTATGAAATAATGGATAATTTAATACCTTTAAATTAGAAAATTAATTATTAAATTTCTCAAAATAAAACTTACGATCCAAAAATCAAATACACGATTATTTAGAATTTGAATAAAATCAATGGAATTTAATTCATTAAGACCAAGCGTCTGGAAATGGAAAAACTTATTGAATCATGAAATAGTAAATTTATTAAAAATAGAATTTCAGAATCAAGTTTAGAGCAGTTTTTGATTTGTTTTTACCCAATGAGAATTTTTTTCATTACTACGAGAGACCGACAAGTTTCAGAGCTGTTACGACGTCCACGAGACGCTCCTAACAAGTTCAATTCTAATTTGGATCTAAGAAACTTTTGTTCTGTTACTGAAATTCTGTTCTCAAAACAAAGCAACAACAAATTTTTTTTTTGGACAGTTCAATTTCAGAAAATATATTGTTGAAACAGATCTTGCAATATGATCTGAACTTTGAAATGGGAGCTGGTCGATTCCTAATAATTATTTTCTCAATGAATGAAATCGAATCTTGGGGAAGAAGATTCATAATTTTTTATTAAATGAAATATGTCGAAATGATTAAGTCAATCATTAAAGATTAAAAACTCAAGAATACTATTATAATCTAACTTTTATCTAGACTAAATTCCAATTAGAGATTTTGTTTTTTTGAACTTGAAAATAAAATAATCTATTTACATCTCGTGCAAAACCAGTTAATTCATTAACATGTACTCCTATACTAGCTTGAACGCCATCCCACATGTGTTCATATGTTATATTGATGTCTGAATAATTTGTAATCTTCAATGAAAATAACAAAACCAAATATTTAATTATTTATTTAATAAAATTCATAATACTTACACCATCATTAATTAATTTAAACATTCGTTTAATAAGTATTCGTAATCTTTTTGTATGTTTTAAATAAGATTTAAATACATTCCATCGTATATAACGAAAAAATGACATAATTTCAAAATCAAATTCATAAATAAGAAATGGTTGACAAAGTTTTGGTAAAAGATATCTCATTATTTGAAGAATATTTTTCTTTGAATAATGTAAATTACAATTTAATCTATAATCAATTAAAATATTTTCATTTATATTTGATATATATTTTGACACAGTCATTTGAGTATTATTGTCTATTGATAAATCATTATTGAATTTAATTGAATTTGTCCAATTTTCAGATAATTTTAATGAATAGAGAACTGATGGTAAACGAAGTAATGATAAATTATGATTAAAATTATTCGATAATGATAGTGTTAATTCAATTAAATCAATAGAAGGAAATGGTTCTTTTAGAGACTGTAGGATTTCTAAAATAGAAAAAAAAAGCTTATGATTCAAATAAAACTTAAAGCAAAGTACATTTGAACTTATTTTAAAAATTATCTACCTGGAGAATCGACAAGCATATATGGATTTTTATTGTTTGATAGTTGTGTATTATCATTAATACTATTTCCTGATGGTGAAGATGATGTCGATTTAACCATTTGATTCGATGAATTCCCATCAAGATGAGGTGAAAATATCATCACTTCCATTTTATCATCTTCAGTTTCATGATCTATATTTTTTTCTTGACATTCTTTATAGTAACATAATGCTTTTTCTTTGATTTTTTTTGGTATTCTACCCATTTTTACATTATCCATTGACATACCTTGTTCAATACATCGATTAAATCGACATGATTTACATCGATTACGTGTTCCTATACTAACTATACATTTATTAGCAAACAAACATTGATTTGAAACACCTCGAGTAATTGATCGTTTGAAAAAACCCTATATACATATTATTCTTATAGATGAAATAGCAAAAACAAAAAACGAAACATACTTTACATCCTTCACATGTAATTACACCATAATGAACTCCAGTAGCAACATCATGACAGATACGACTACAAAGGAAAAAAAAAACAGATATATTAAATGAAAAAATGATCTCGTGTTTATTTTTGATTTCTTTCAAATTTTTAATAACTTACCATTTTCCAAATGGAAAAGATTGTGTCTTTTTTATTGATTTTTTATGAGAAATCGGTAATAATTCTTGATGTTGATTTTGTGAACTAATTTGTTGTTCTTTTTGTTCTGATTGACAAGAAGATGTTGATATTTGTGTCGATGAAAAATTCATTGTCATTTCAATAAATAATTATAATAAATAACATTGTAAAATTAGTCAAATTCACCTAAGTATATAGAAGTGACTGGTTTATAGTGAACTACAATGTTGTTCTGTTGCCATATATTCCTAACATTAAAGATGTCATTAGTTTGAGACGACAGATGCGCAAAAGAAAAGAAAAGAAAAGAAAAAAAGCAAAAAAAAACACGTCGGTATGTCAATATGTTCACGGACTAGTTAGGTTTCTGTTCTCTTTCATTTTATTATTTATTCGATGGATTGTTTGCGTGAGTAAAAAAAGAAGAAAAAAAGAACTCGACATACATTTCTCAGCATAAAAAAAAGGTATAGTGGAGATTTATAATAATAATAAACTTGTGTGTGCGACGTGTTATATCATAATTCTTTTTTTCTATCAAATTGATACATTTTAGGTCCACCAGAGATTTTAAATACACATTGCTCGTATAAAGTTCTTTTACATTTCATGAATTTCTTAAATTATCTTGAATTTTGAACTATTGAATTGTGAGTTTTACGCTTAACTAATTGTTTATAAAGAGACTAATAGAATTGTTTTCAATAATTCAAATTTGAATTTTGAATGATACATATGTAAGAGAGTTACATCTTTTGATACTTTAGAATGAAGTCTGATTGCTATTATTCAGGATACTTTGTCGGAATATTGATATTTTAAAAAGAGCACGTTGTCACGTAAAACACACTGTAAATTAATATTTATCATGTAGAGTTTTAATTGCTAATCTAGTCGATTGTCAAATATTTGATGGTACTTATATTAACAACATCCTGTAAAAAAATAACATTGAATAATTATGGAAAGTGATAAATATATATGAATTTTCACATTCATATTTCTTTATCTAATACTCATTATGTCAAACATTGTCGGTTTAACACAAGCTTAACATGATCGTGTTCTCAGATATATTTGATCAAATTTACTGAAGAATTCAATCAATCATTCTTTTTTGCTATGCACTTATATTTTTCATTCATGGGATTAAGATTTTGATGTAAGCAATTTAGTACTTGTTCTACATGTGGAACTAAGTTGTCTATCAAATTGTATTATTTTCAATAGAAGTCGTTGGACAGACAAAAAAAAGGGGAGTTTGAAGTCAAAAGATTGATATTTCGGCTATAAACCTTGAGCGGATTTGCTCGATAACTTGTGTTGACTCTCTAACTGTTTATGTTAGATGCGGAAAGTTCGTTCTTTATGGAAAGATATTAGTTTTAATGAAGATTGCCGAACAAACATGATCTTTATCAGTATGTCCTCAGTGTTGGTTTTAAATGTTTCGAAATGCTGAACTTCAATTTTCTTTTGAATGATAATAGACTCTCTGACGACAGTCTGTTACCTGATAAAGTTCTTTTCTATTTGTATGTATCGATTGAATGACTTCATTTAACAATTATGTGAATGATATTTTAATCAGCATAAAATTTGCTTCCTATCAATTAATTAATTAATTGATAGACGTGAATTTAAATTGATTATAAACATTTAAAATTCGTCATATACCACATATATATTATATCTGATGTTTATCGTGATATAAATTATTGACATATAGTTCATAGATTTAAATATTTATCTGTATGTCAAGATTACTGTCAGATTTTCATGCAGCTAAATATTTTAATTTTGGAGAACATTTCAGACGAAAATAGTAATAATATATCATACTTATTAAAGATATGCATTATTAGACATGTGAAGCAGAATTAGAAGTTTGAGTGCAACAATTGAGAAAAAGCGTATTACAAAAAACTCTTAGTGCACATGTACGATAAAAAAGAATAGTGTTTGACATAAAGTATTTAGGTGTGATACAAAGAATAACATGATTAGATAGTACAGGTGTAAAAAAAACCTAAAGAACTATAATATTTCAAAGAATTTATCTAGATAGCATCGCAGAAGCATTAGTAGTTGGCATGCAAAACATTAGCAATAAGTAATATTAAAATTAGATAATAATAATAAGAAGAACATGATTTTGAAGTGTATTGAATGGAATAAATGTAAATGATGAAAATAGTTTTTAGTAGTCCATTGTACAGGAAACATCTTTGCAAGAACAATAGATAGACCAAACGAGGAGTGGGTAGCAGTTTTCTTAAAGTTGATGGAACGTGTCAGAAACGTTATAGACAGTGTGAGCAAACGATTAGTCAAAGTATAATGATCTATGAAGCAAAAACTTCATGTTGGTTCTGACTCTAAACATTGGCACCTAACATATCTCTTATATGTACATCTTACTTGAATGTACTTCAGATGAAAAAAAAGTCATTCTAATTGTACGGGCATACTCTATTTTAATTTTGCCATTTTTTATAGATCAGAAAATGGTCATGAATTTGTCCGAATTAGTCTCAATGTGTCATATTCATTGAAAAGAAAGAAAATGATGACAAGCAAAGTTAGTATGATTTCAATTATCAATCGTACGTTCAAATCTTCTTGTTTTGTATCATGTCATCAGTCATCACTCTATGAAGTAATTTGTCAAGAAAGTTCTTTTGCATTGATTTTACTTCAGTCGGCTCCTCTTTAATCAATTCTATCCAAAAATGGTGATTGAAGCCAACACTGATCTAAGTCCAAGCGATTTGATACACTCACACGCAAAAAAAACGTAAATGTGCGACGTAGACTTAAATAAAAATATAAAATAGGGATTAGACAATTAACTGTTAAAATTCGTGGTCCAAAAAGTGCTTTTCGTATTGAAATGCAACGTAAATATTTACAAGGTCGTACAATTATATGTTAATATGATCCAACTGAATCTGAGATTTATTTTAGATCAGTTAAATGGAATGGTGAATATATAGGTGCCCAAACAGACAAGAGTTTGAAAACACGCGTTTAAACGCATTTTTTTAAATTCTGAAATAAAAGCGCGTGTTAACGCTCATTTTTGATATTTTCCGCCGTTTTCAAGTTGTCAGATTGAAAATGTTGTGCAAACACGCGTTTCTTTCATTTTTTTAATCAGTGTGAATGGATCACAATCGCGATTTCCATTTGGTGCGTTTAAATGCGTGTTTCCAAATACTTGTCTGCTTGGGTGATTCACCGTTTCATATAAATATATTCAAATGTCAAGAACAATTAGATCAATTTCGATATCAATTCAATGTTTATCATATATTTGAGCAAAAGCAGAATAGTAAACTTTAGTGCAACACATTTGGGGATGTGGGTGTAAGTGTATGGGTGAGGATCTTCTCTTTACACCCACACCTACATGTTACATCCACACCAACCCACAGTTACACCCATTCTCCACACATACACTCACCTCCACCTCATCTAAACAAACTTTTAAGAAACGGGTTTTTAATTTATAATGTAGACGAAAGCTCCTGAATATACAATCGTCGCGCCGCGTCTCATCACCGAAGGCGACGAAATTCTTGCATTTCACCATCTAGGAGCTATCAAGTGTCAATCTAAATTGATATCTCCGCAGGACAAATGTTGTCGTTCAATTGAATTTCATATGCCAGACAAAATTCGATTGCGGGTGGAAGGGGTTAAGACTCAGGCATAGCTCGGACCCTTAAGATGCAACTGGATGCGATCTCAAGTGTCACTATGAAGTGCCTGATGACTATAATGAGGCGATGATAAAATGAGTTGAGAACGAATGAAGATTTTCAAATTTATTCAACAAAAAATGATGAACACGAAACAGATGATGGCACTCAATAGGATACAGTACTGGCCAAAAGTATCCCCACACTTGAATCTCAGTCACTACAAGAGCTGTTGCTCTGAAAACTTGACTGTATATAGATCTCGATTAGTGTGGGTCAGCGGCGAAACTCGCACCTTCATAGCCTGAGTCATTAGAGAGTTATGATGCATGGAATTTATTTCCGTTGTCGACTTCATAACTCTAGAACAACAAAGCCCAATGGGCTGCGAGACGTGTCACTCTGTAGCCCTGTATATTGGCTATTTGTGATAAAAATTTCATCAAAATTCATTGGGTTATTGTGAAACTAGATTCATTTTACTATAAGGATGGGTATGCTCAGAAACCATTAAATCTCATTGTGTGACTCATAATTCAGCGTAGATCCAACAGATCGACTTCAAGCTTACAGGAAAGGTAGCCCCATAGACTTTTATTCTTCTCTGAAATGTTCAGACTTATATCACGTACTGGAAAGAAATGGCACTATGCTCAAGTT